AAAAAAAAAAAAAAAAAAGACTCCATAAGGGCATGATCCCTTCCCTTCCATTATATTACCCTCTCCCCAAGCTCCAGCGGCTTTAACCCTTTAACTGGGGGCCTTGAGGGAGCAGGAGATAGAAAAGGAGGATCCAAAGTCACAGGAAAGGCATTCAAAGGCACGAAGCGGCTTTAAAAGTCACTGGAGGTGAAGGTAGGAGCATCGGAAGTCCCAGGTTGGGAGCCTATGTGTGCGCACCCAAATCAGCTTAGGGACCTAGGTCCTCCTAGCTCTATTAATGCTTCTTTTTCATGGCTTCTAGGCACCAGCCTTGCTCACAGTGCCTTGCACAGAGTAGGCACTCAATAAATACTTGATTTATTTGAATCTGATACCAGAGAGAGCCTTCCCCACCTGTTCTTCAGGAGAGGCACCTCCAAACCAAAGTCCTCCTCCTGTTAGGTGGGCTTTTCCAAAAAACCTATCTAAGATGGCAGCTGCAAATTCTCCATAACCATGGCAACAAGGGATTAGCCTGATGGGGTCATGGTGTCAGGGGAGGGGTAGTGGAAGAACCTGTTCTGGGTTTGAGGGAGCTGGGGTACATTCCAGTCCCCCCTCCATAGGACTTGAGGTTTCACAGCTTCTGGCTGGGGGTGGGAATATTAAGGATCCTCTAATTGAGAGATACCCCATTAACTCTTTAACAGATCAAGTTAACCAACCCTATTAGCAGAGATTCCATTAAAAGAGAAACCCCATTAACTGAGACCCTGATGATAGAAATTCTATTAACAAGATCTCCACTAACACTTCTACACAGAGATGCATTTGGCTAAAACTTCCATAGCAGAAATGGACCTCCTCCCCCCTCCCCCCAGCTCACTCTACCTGACCTGTCATCATAACTTAGATAAATAGAATTATTATTATTACTATTCATTTCTCTTGGAACATAGGGGTTAAATATACAGGCCTGGGGGCAGCCTCCCTGACCCTGGGGTCACCCCATCTTTGGGATCAGATCCCCACTGGTCTGCCCCCCTCTTGGCACCTTGCTTTCTGCCAGGTGACTAACCCCAATCCCCCTAACTCTGGCTCCTAATGAAGAGGCCACCAGGGGGCAATAAATTATCATCATCATCATCATTATCATCATTGTGTTTGTAAATAGGAAGAATGCTCTGGAGCACAGACAGCACAGTGGAATAAGAACTTGGGAAGACTGGAACCTGGAAGCTTAGAGATAGTGGTAAATAAGGTTGGGAAGTAGAAAGGATGGATGTCAAGGAGTTAATGAGATAGAGAAATAAAGTGTTGGGAGCCCAGATGGAAGGAAAGAGAGTGGTGTGGTAAGAGCCAAGGAGAGAGAAGCTGTGGACACGGGCCAGAGAAGAGTTTAGGAAGCCAGAGTACAGAAATCAGGCACAAGGTGAGGGCCTAAGATGAGAGTTTATGGAAGGGGCTCATGGCAAGGGAAGAGGGGAGCTGAGGGGGCATGCAGGGAGATACCCAGGCTCAGAATGGCCAGGGGAGATGGAGAGCACCCCAAAGGGCAGCATGCATGGGGCAAAACAGTGAGGGGGAAGCAGTGGTCCACTGAGCCAGGAGAGGCTGGCAATCAGCCCTGGGGCTGGAGACCCTCCACCTAGCTCAGATCTCCAGCAGGTTGCTCTGCTCCGGGCTGCCTTCAGGGGCTTTTTCTGGGGGTGCCGGAGAGGCTGAAGGTCGGGGTGTCTGATTGGCCTCCTCTTCCCCTGCGTTGCGGCCCTCCCCCAGCTCCTTGGGGCCACTGGATGGAGGCCCTGGGCCTGGCTCGCCATGGGTGCGTTGGTGTTTGCTCAGGTGGTCGCTCCGGGTAAAGCGCTTGGAGCAGAGCAGGCAGGTGAACTTTTTCTCCCGGGTGTGAGTGCGCACGTGACGCTCCAGCTCATCCGAACGGGTGAACCTCTTGCCACAGAAGAGCCAGTTGCAGACGAAGGGCCTCTCGCCCGTGTGCCAGCGCAAGTGGGCCTTCAAGTGTGAGGCCTTGCCATATACCTTGCCACAGCCCGGTATGTGGCAGCTGTGGATGGGCTTCTTCCGCAGCCCAGCTGCTGCTGCCCCCAGGCGCTCTATCTCCTGGCAGTTAGGGCAGTCACAGGAGGAGCGCCCTGCTCCACTGCCCCCATATCCACCACTGCCCCCTGTGCCTGCGCCACGAGGGGGTTTGGCTCCACCACTCCCCTCTAGCTGCCCAGTATTGCCCACTGCCTTGGATTTATAGACATCTTGGGGTAATACATGCTGAGGCCCTGGTTGCAGAAGGTGAGGAGCTGGGTAGGGGGCTGGATTAAGGGGGGCAAAGTCGGCGGGGTAGGTGGGTAGCTGGGGGTTCAATGGAGGCTGAGCAGGGCCTGTGGGCAATGTCCCTTGCAGCCCATCACCCTGGCCCTGCCCACCACCTAGCCAGTTGCCCCCAGGGTGCATATCCCACCAAGGTGTAGGAGCATTGCCTGGGCCTGGTGAGATGCCTGCGTGGATGCCTGCCTTGTACCAGGAGCCATAGGGATGTGCCATGTCCAGAGAGGTGTAGACACTAGGCAGGCAATCAGAAGAAGTGTGTCCCTTGGGCACTAGTAGCCCAGGATCCTGGGTGCCTGTGGGCCCAGGAAATGAGTGAGAAAAGGGAGGGTAGTCATTGGCATAGCCGGAGGTGGGTGCTGGAGGACTGCCTGCAGGTGAGAGGAGCCCGTTGGTGCTTGAAAAGGGGGCTGGGTAGGCATCCCCCATGGTTTTTGGAGCTGAGAGATCACTGCCCACAGAGTATGGCTTCTTTGTGCCTGCCTTGCCCAGTGTTGCTGAGTCCCGCAGAGGGCTGGAGCCACCAAATTTGCTGCACGCCGCCGTCAGCATGGCCAGGGGACTGGAGCCATAGTGAGCTTCCTCCTGGGGAGAGATGGAAGCACTACTTAGGGGAGGGAGGAGAATGCAGAGAGGAGGGTAAACTCTAGGACTACGACCTAGACACATGGAGAAGAGAACAAATGGGTCAGGGAAGAGTTGAAGAGAATGAGGAGAGGTAAGAAGAGGGGCCATGAGGACTGGGTCCCAGACCAGAGCTCAGATGGCATTATGGAAGGAGAGCAGAAGTCTGCAGCTTAACACCCAACTAAGGAAGCAAGAAGCAGCGGAGTTCACTGTGACGTATTAGCTGGGGGGTGTGCAAGGGCCTTAGAGAAACAGGAGTTGCCTCTTAAATGAAGAGCTGGGGATAGAGGCAGCACTTGGATGAGGTAAGAATTAGGGGTTCTGCCCAACTGGCTTGGCTCAGTGATTGAGCATCAACCTGTGATCCAGGAGAGATTGTGGTTCAATTCCAGGTCAGGGCACATGCCCTGGTTGTGGTTTCGGGCTTGATCCCCAGCAGGGGGCGTGCAGGAGGCAGCCAATCAATGACTCTCATCGTTGATCTTTTTTTCTCTCTCTCTCTCCTCCCTTTCTCTCTCTGAAATCAATAAAAAAATATATATTTTTAAAAAGGATTAGAGATCCTGACCCCCGGGGAGTGGTTCAGAGCAGAGGCCATGGTCAGAGACTTGGAGAGGGAAGATGAGGCTCAAAAGAACAGCACGGGAAGGAGGAAAAATATTAGGGAACTATAGTTACCCCCATTCCAGATTTTCCCAGCATTACCCCATATTTCACTTCCTGTCTCCACTTCATCTCCTGACTAAGGCAGTGGCCCAGCCTGGTCTCCCCAAGGCCTTGTCCTCATGTCCCTGGTAAGGAATCTCTTGGCAGGGACTCTGGGCCTGGGGAGCAAGAGGAAGCGATGGCTGAGACACTGGGACATTGAGAGGGAACAGGGCTGCCGCCAAGCCAAGACTGTGGCTGAGGCAAGAATGTCTTTCAAGCAGGCAGTAGGCACCTCCTGCTTTGTGGAGCCAGCTGGTACCCCTTTGGGAGGACTAGAAGAGCCTGAAGTCCTCGTGCCCCTCCAGGGCAGGGAATTGGGGTGGCTATGACACTGGCTCACAGCCACACCCCTCCATGCCTCAGTGTCCCCTAACGTGTAGCCCATGTAGCCGGTCTCTCTTCACCCTTCCAGCACAGTGAGTGAAGGAAGACATGTAGATGCGGCACATGGGGGTCTTTTAGAAATGCAGAATGCCCTTAATGTTCACCTTGCTGCTGCTGCTACCAAGCCAGACCTCCCTCAGGACCTCCTGGTGCCCCCCCCACACACACCCAGGTCAGCCTTGGGACATCCTGGGAGGAGATGGCCTCCAGAATCCCTGGCTGGCATAGGTAAGCATCCATCACTGAGAATCCCACCAAAAAATATGTCCTCCAAAGCTGACCCTGGACAGTTCCCTGACTGGGATCCTCAAGAGCCAATGTACCTGGTGCCTTATGGGAAAAGCTGGAAAAGAACTCAGGAACCCAGGGCTCCCAGATCCGCCTGCTAGCACGCTGTGTGTGACACCAGTTCTCAAGGTAGGTCTGGGGTCTTAAGGTTGCAGTGAAGGGCATGTGCTGTCACCACTCCTGCACTACTCCCCAAGTGCAAATCTGACGCTCCCCCTGCCCATTACCTCGCTCTGAGGTCCCGTTGACTCCGTGGACATGGACTCCCAAATCTGAGTGACCAAAACTTTCCTCAAATCTGGCCGTGGTAAAAGCCCTGGTCCTTCCCCGCCAGGGTTCTCCTGGAGCCTCTGGTCCCCCAAGCAGAGGGTGGGCTGAGGTGGGGTAGCTGCTGGGACAGGAGCCAAATCCCAGCAGAAAGGGAGAGAGAAACATGGAGTACGAAGGGGAGAGGCAGAGAGACTCAGAGACACCGGAGCAAAGTGCCCGGCACAGGGTGAGGAACTGATGTAAAAGCCCCCAGAGGTGGGGGAAGGGGAACAGGGGGGGTGAAACTGGCATTAGGGGCCAGAAGTGGGCAGGGACCCAAAAGAACAGAAAGGTGAAAAGACAAAAGGGAGGAAACCAGCAAGAGGAAACCAGTATAAACAAAGAGAGGTGATGGAAAGAGACTGGGCTAGAGGGCAAAGGAAAACAGAGGAAAGGAAAGGGAAGGGAAGGAGGAAGAGAAAAGAAAAGGGGGGGGAGGAGGAGGAGGAGGAAGGCAGATCTCCTACCTAAGAAAACCACCAGGGGGCTGGGCCCCAGAAAACCCCCAGACCAGGCCGCTCCTCCCGCCTTCTCCCCCTGACCGCCCCCTCCCCCTCTGCCCAGCCCGGGCCGGCTCCGTTGGTTTCCCTGCGGTCGGTTTATTTTTAAAAACGCCGACGCCGTCCCCCGCCCGGCCCTCACACTGTGGCCACAGGGGCCTCAGCCAAGCCCAGGGACCCCACCCAGCTGTGGGGAAGAAAGGAGGGGTGAAAGAAGGCAAGCGGCCCCAGGCCAACGGGAGACCCCAGCCCTGGGGAGCAGAGGCCCTCAGGGCTCCCGAAGGCAGGGAAAAGGGAGCGAGACCCCAGGCCCACTCAGACTGTCCTAGAAGCCAAGAGCTGGGTCCCTGGCTAAGTTTCACCACAGACTCAGTTTCCTTCTCTTGCTGTTTGCACTCCCGGAGAAGTTGGGAGGGGGTCCTGGTGAGGGATTCTAAACATGAGCCTTCATACCTGATCAAATGCATTACCTTTTGGGGACCCAGGAGTCTTACCTTCCAATTGTTTTTACTCCTCCCTCCACCCACTCACTACCCCTTAAACCCAACAACACAAAGTAGACTTAAAGTGCAGAAGGGGAGCCTCTGAAGGACAACATGAGGAGCTGTCCCCAGGTCTCTCACCCAGATAGATGTGCAGCGAGGAAGGAAGCCCCTCTTCTCAGGTGTTCACCGCACCCAGCTGACCTCCCACTGGAATATTCGCCCACTGTATATCTGGGGACTGACTGGCCATAGGTCCCAGTTTCCAATTCTCCACTTTTTCAGCCTTCTCCCAAGTTGTTCAGTTTTCCCAACTTCCAATTCTCCATCTCCACCTGGCCCTGACCCCCATATATCCCTCCTCCCTGTTTTGCATCCCACTCGGCCCAGGTGAGCTTCCCATCAAGCAGCAACTGCTTCCTTCTCTGAACCCCAAGTTCTTCCCACTGCCAAAGATCCCACCTATACCAGGCAGAGGGCTTCTTGGTGGTGGTGGCTGGGGAGAAGGGGAAAGAAAGTTGAGGACCCAGGTGTCCAGAAATTGGTGAAAGAGACAGAAGGCCTGGAATGCCTTTATGTTGGGACATCTCCAGCTCACAGGGAGTGAGGGACATGGAAACCCAGTATTCATGACACATTCCTCTTGCCAAGTGCTGTCCCGATCCGGTGTCTTTCCAGCAAGCCTTTGGGTCCCTTTCCCCCTGCACCAATGCCACGCTGGCAACTCTGGCATGATGCCCACACCCACTGACACTGACACTGCCCCTGCCTTGGGTGGACCCAGGATTTCCATGCACCTTAGTTCTCCAGCTTCCTCAGGACCAACCAGTGTTTCAAGATGGCTCAATATAGTAGTGAAGAGATGACAGGGAGAGCAGTCTGCCCTCATTGCAACACTTGGGACTCCAGCCTGGGTACAGGGTACTGACAGAGGACATGGTGTCCACCCTATTGGCTTGTATGCCATTGCCTCAAATTCAGTCACAAAACTATCTCTCAGCCTTACTCATACACCATTCCCCACTTGGACTAACAAATATGGCCCGGCTTACTTACACACACACACACACACACACACCCCTGTGCTCTCATAAGGCCCGCCACGGGTGCAGTCACTGCTTTACATTCTAACACTTACACTCAGGCCAATAAACACAGGCGTTAAGACGACTCCCATTCCATCTCACACACACCTCTCCTACAGGCTTCCTGTTTGGCCCATCACCCCTGGGACCTGAGCTAGGGCACTGAAAACAGAGATGGGGGTTTCTGAGGGGTGGGAGAATATGGAATATTCAAGGCCACTAAAGGAGGCTGACTTTAAGGGGAGGGCTCTCTGGCCACAAACTCCTGTGGAGGGACCCAGAAAACAGGACAGAGACAATGACAGAGAAAGAGAGTCAGAGACCCAGAAGCAGAGAGAACTCAGGATGTTCAAACAGGCTGTGAATGGCTGAGAGTCCCCTTTTCCAACTATGTGCCATGAGTCTTTCAGGAGCCCTGCTAGAATGAGTGATTTCTCAAGACCCCCAAACCCTGGCCCGCATGGTATCCTAGTTCCCTCCATCCCCAGTGCCAGAGAAAAGGGATGCTGGGGTCCCAGCCTGGAGGGGAAGTGGCCCAGTCCGCCCTGGAGCCTCCCACTCCCAAAATAGAGCTGAGTTTGTCTTTGGCTGAAAGCTAAATATTTGTGAGCCGGGCAGGCGGCCTCAGACCCTGGCCCTCCTCCTTGGTTCCCTCTCAGGCTTGGGCCCAGTTCCTCTGGTCAGCCCCCCCACAGGCACAGGACTGCCCTTCTCCCTTCTCTCATAGCCCACCTCCTCTCCTATAGGCACCAGCCCAGAGGCCCAGCCCTCTCCCCACCTACAAACCAGACAAGACACTGCTCAGGCTGAGTTCTAGGAGACAAGACCCTCAAGGAACTGTACCCAGTTGCCACTCTGTGCCTACTCAACCAGTCCTATCACCTTCTCTCTCTCCCCCTGTGTACTACCAGCTTATCTATCTCTCACCCTTCTCCC